GATGGGGGATGCGAGTGGGAGGCGGGGAAGAGGTGGCGAGAGGAGGATAAGGGGTGGCCTTGTTGGCCCTCCAGTGGGTATCTCTCTTGGGGCTTCTGGGGGCTACCTTGGCGGCATCCGAACTCGGCCAGCGCTCAACTCGGCCAGGACGCCGCCTGAGAAGTCCCAGGAGCGCCCCGACAGCGACCCAAGAGCGCGCCAAAACCTTGCCCCGTTTTCGACGCTTCCGACGAAATCCAGGCAAGACCCCCGCTCGCCCACGATGACCCGAGACACCGCCTGAGAGGACCCAAGAACGCCCCGACAGCGCTCCGAGAGCGACCCCAAAACCTTGCAACGGCCAGGATCGACTTGGCCAAGGTCGACTCGGCCAAGGTCGACTCGGACCGGCCTAACTCGGCCAAGCTCACCTCGGCCAAGGTCGACTCGGCCAAGGTCGACTCGGACTGGCCTAACTTGGCCTAACTCGGCCAAGCTCAACTCGGCCAAGGTCGACTCGGCCAAGGTCGACTCGGACCGGCCTAACTCGGAGCGCCCCAAAACCTTGCAACGGCCAGGATCGACTCGGCCAATGTCGACTCGGACCGGCCTCACTCGGCCAGGCTCACCTCGGCCCAGATCAGCTCGGCTGGGGGGCCCACGCTGCAGCGGGGCGCTCGGATCCTCCTCCTCCTCCTCCTCCTCCTCCTCCTCCTCCTCCTCCTCCTCCTCCTCCCCTTCTCCTCCTCCTCCTCCTCCTCCTCCACCTCCTCCTAGTCCTCCCCTTCCTCCTCCTCCTCCTCCTCCCTCCTCCTCCTCCTCCTCCTCCTCTCTCCATCCCTCATCCTCCTCCTCCTCCTCCTCCTCCTCTCCTCTCCTCCTCCTCCTCCTCCTCTCTCCTCCTCCTCCTCCTCCTCCTCCTCCTCCCCTCCTCCTCCTCCTCCTCCTCCTCCTCCTCCTCTCCTCCTCCCTCCCCCCGCCCTCCCCTCCTCCTCCTCCTCCTCCTCCTCCTCCTCTCCTCCTCCTCCTCCTCCTCCTCCTCCTCCTCCCTCTCCTCTCCCTCTCCCTCTCCCTCTCCCTCTCCCTCTCCTCCTCCTCCTCCTCCCTCCTCCTCTCCTCCTCCTCCTCCTCCTCCTCCTGCTTCTCCTCTCCCTCCTCCTCCTCCTCCTCCTCCTCCTCCTCCCCTCTCGCTCTCCTCCTCATCCTCCTCCGTCTCTCTCCTCCTCCTCCTCCTCCCCTCCTCCCCCTCCTCCTCCTCCTCCTCCTCCTTCCTCCTCCTCCTCCTCCTCCTCCTCCTCCTCCTCCTCCTCCTCCTCCTGCTCCTCCTTCCCCGCGTCTCGGCCGGATGAGCTCGGCCAGGCTCAGCCCGGCCGGGGCCCCGGCTGGCGCCTCCGGGGTCTTCTGTTCCGGAGCGAGAGAAGGACGCACACGTATAGTGAATCCACGCTGGTTTCGAGAGTACGCATTGCGCAGATGTTCGTACAACGCGGCCGGTCTCGCGGATCGAAGGGCCGTGCTCATGTACATAGTTGGGCGCGTACGTCATTTGTGGTCTCCCTATCTGTGGGAGCTATCTTTTTGTTTGGCCGCAGCTTCTGATAACAGTAGCCATCATTCTGCAGCAGTTGACGTGCCAGATGCGCGCCAACCGCGAGCCGCGCCAAACGCGCGCTGAGCATGCACATGCAAGTGCGTTCCAATTAACCGATCATGTGTCCAGGTAATCCCATACGAACGGAAATGGTATGAATATATATATATATATATATATATATATATTAGAGTCACAACGTGGACCCAGCACCACAGGATGGTTGGGAAATGCTGCTGATTCCAACTCCTCCCATGCATCTCACTGCGGTTCCGCGAGTCACATCCCACCACCCCGCCGATCGATGCCCGCCATCAAGGAAGGTCGATCGGATGTATGATGTACGGATATTGCGGAAGTGCGTCCATGCACCTATTGCGCTCGTGGCCTCCACAGCACCGTCGCTCTCGCCAAGGCTCCACTGCAAAGCTCCGCCCTAGCAAAGAAGGCGACGCGCTGCCCTAATCACAGACCAAGTGGCTGGAGAGTACTTGTGGTCTGCATGGCAGCGACGCTCTTCAATACATTCACAGCAGGGCCTCTATCTACATATATATATATATATATATATATATGCATATATATATATGTGTGTGGGTGTACCCACATATCTGTACACATATGGGCGCCGGGGAGCTTGAGAGGCCAAGGCTACGGAAATACTGACGTTTTGCGCAGACCATTCACTACGCAGCGCGCCTGCTTGAGTCAACAAGTCGTCTCACTCTAAGCTGCTGCGACTTCGCACATATAGCGTCGAGGATCGCTTGCCCCCGCCGCAAACTTTTACAATATCATCCCAATGTGGTAAGCTGCTCCGCTCATTCTTTGGTGTGTACTCCGTATATACGAGGTCTGCAAGATCCTGGGGTACCGCGCCAAGAGCATTGTGTAATGATTTGATCATGCTGTCGAGATCACTGCAATCAAAGCAGTGCAATTCAAACATCGCAAGAACACATAACTGATTTCCTACATGATTGGCGTTCGCATGTAGTGTGTCGGCTTGACTTCGGCATGTTTCAAATTATGGTGGAGGCAACCTGATGCCAAACACTCATCCAAAGCGCGATGGAGGAAAACCACGCGAAACGCTGAGAACGCTCTCTAATAAATGGTGCCCTGAACCCCCGAGCCTGGCAACAAAAATCAGAGTGGCACGCCTCTGTGGTTCTTGAAGAAATGTCGTGCGTGATTTCGTTCGGCCGCTCTCCAGCTTCAGGCCAGAGGCTACTGCAACTACTCCCAAAACATGCAAGACTGGCGCAGCCATTGTTTGTGCGCCCTCTAAGCCAATAGCTCGCCACAAAAATCTGGTCAAACTTCTGCGGTATCGGGAGGTGTGGGAAGACGAGCCCACTTGAGCCAAGATGGCTTGAGCCAACATTGGCTGCGGGTGCGGGAGCTCTCTTGGGCTCTCTCTTGGAGCTCTACTGGGCCTCTTCTTGGAGCTCTCTTTGGGCTATATGAGAGCTGTCTTGCAGCTCTCCTGGGGGGGTCCGAAGGGCTCCCCAGAAGCCTTCAGGAGCTCCCAGCGGAGCCTACGACGGGCAGATCAATACATATTTCAGTTGTTGCCCCCCCGCCTCGACGGCGCCCTCTGGGAGCCTCTTGGGCCTCTCTTGGAGCTTCTTTGGGACCATCTTCGGCCTCTCGCTGGGTTCTTTTGGGGCCATCTCTGTTGCGTTGTGTGCTGCTACAGAGCGTGCTCCTATTCATCCCTGAGTACGGCATCTCGCCTAGGCACCTTGTCTCGATGGGCTTATGGGCATACGCGAAGCGTCAAGAATTAAGCCGAGTCGAGGGCCTCACTTAAAGCTCCGTTGGGGTATTCCTGGGGCTCGTTTGGGCTTCTCGTAGTGCCCTGAGACGGGCCCAAGGGGCCCCAAGACAGTGCCAAGAGGGCCCCAAGACGGCTTCAAGATGGCTCTAAGACGGGTTCAAGAAGTCCTCCTTGCGCGCAAAGCCCAATTATATGCATAGAGTTGGGGCGCTCACGTGGAGCTCTCTTGGGGTCTTCTTGGGGATCGTTTGCGCTTGTTCTAGGGCTCGCAGATGGGACCAAGTGGGCTGCCGCTGGGTTTTCCTTCGGCTTTGGGCTTCCGTGGAATTTTCGGACCCCCCCCGGGCTTTTCTTGGGCTTGTCTGGGACAGGAGCGCTTCGGATCAACTGGGCCAGGACGAGTTCGGCCGGCTCAGCTCGGATCCGGACGAACTCGGCCAGATTATCTCGGCCGGGGCTCATTTCGGCCCGGATCAGTGCGGCCGGGCTCCACGTGGCTGGGCTCACATCGGCCAGGGTTCAAGTCGGCCCTGCTCAACTCGGCGGGCTCAACTCGGCCGGGCCTCCGGCTGCAGTGGGTTGCCGAGATCAATTCGGCCGCTTCAACTCGACCAGCTCAACGCGGCCAGGATGAACTCGGCAAGTCCGAATTCGGCCAGGCTCAGCTCGGCCAGCCCTGAGCTCAGCCGCTGGCCGGGTTGAGCCTGGCCGACTTCGGCCTGACCGAGTTGAGCTTGGCCGAGTTGAGCTGAATTGGGCCTAGCCGAGTTGAGCCTCGCCGAGCTCGGCCCGTCTCACCTTTTTGGGGCCACCGCGGACAATCTGGCGCGGCCCATCTTGACGCTTAGGGGGGGCCTCTCGGAGCTTCTACGGGCGGGGACGGAGAGGCAGCTGGCGGAGGGGGGAGTCTAGGGGAACAAAAAGTGACATAAACATAAAAACTCTTAGGTCCGCGCGGATTTCTCGGATCGGCGCTGGGGCCCCCCGGCGGCGCCTCCGGCGCCGCCCCTGGCGCGTTTCGCGCGCCAGGGAGGGGGGTCTAGCGCCGATCCGAGAAATCCGCGCGGACCTGCGAGTTCTTATGTTTATGTAATTTTTTGTTCCCCTAGGGAGGGGATGAGAGGGGAGGGGGGAGGAAACGAGGGAGAGGGGGCGAGGGAAGGAGGCACGCGGGCAGAGGGTAAAAGGGGCCGAGAGGGAGCCTCTCGCACGGAGGCCGTGCCGCCCTGCAGGGGCCGCTCTCTCTTGCGCTCTCCCAGGCACGCCGCTCGCTGCTGGCCGAACAGGGCACGGCTCTCTGCTCTTGGCATCGCCCGGGTGCGTGCACGTTTCCCTCGGCGAGGAGGAGGAGGAGGCGGAGGAGTAGGAGGAGGAGGAGGAGGAGGAGGAGGAGGAGGAGGAGGAGGAGGAGGAGGAGGAGGAGGAGGAGGGCCATCCCGTCAGAAGCCGAAGCGTGCACGGGGGCATGGACGCCCGAGCGATGGCGAGCTCTCGTCGCCTGGAGGCCACGCAGCGCGAGCCTCGAGGCGAGCATCCCCCGCAGCACCCGAGGAGGCGAGCGCCACAGTGGGAGGCCGCCGCCCTCGGAGGCGGGCCGCGCAGCGCGCCTTCTCCTCTCCGGGGGGGGGAGAGCTCCGCGCCGGAGAGGTGGATGAGATCTTCGCGTCGCTCGAGCCCTACTTCGCGAAGCGGTGGCTCCACGTGGAGCTGAAGCTCGGGCAGCCCGTGAGGGGCGAGTTCGAGGAGCCGCTCCCGGGGGAGGCCGGCGAGAGGCTGGAGGACACGCTCGTGGGCCCCGACGTCGGCGTCACGGCGCCGGCCTCGGGGGATCCAGCTCTCAGGCCCTGAGATCCTGGCGCCTCAATTTTTCCGAGCCGGGCATCGTCGCCTTTTTTGGGACCCCGGGGTCCGCGCAGATCGATCCGGCGCGAAGAATGACGCAGAAAGGTTGTGTCCAGGGTTAAGTCGGGCCATGTCCCTCTACAGGGGTAATGTTCAAAAATAGGCAAAACATAGTCAGGGGACTACTTTTCGAGCATTTTGTTACCATTTTGGAGTATTTATTGAGTATTGCATATCTTTCGTCGAAGATCCCCCTGTAGGGGGGCACGCCCGGCTTGAGTCCAAGGCTCCAAGCGTGTTTTTCTTGCGACGGTGCCGTCTTTTTTCGCTGCGTCGGGTCTCGGGGGAAGTGTTCCGCAGCTGCACGGGTCGAGGTCGGGCCGTCTTCAAATTGTGGCCCTTGCCTGAACGCCGCGCCATTTCGTTTTTTGTTGTTGTTGTCGTCGTCGTTGTCGTTGTCGTTGTTGTCGTTGTCGTTGTCGTTGTCGTTGTCGTTGTCGTTGTCGTTGTCGTTGTTGTCGTTGTTGTCGTTGTCGTTGTCGTTGTCGTTGTCGTTGCCGTTGTCGTTGTCGTTGTTGTTGTCGTTGTTGTTGTTGTTGTTATTGTTGTTGTTGTTTTTGTTGTTGTTGGTGTTGTTGTTGTTAGTGTTGTCGTTGTTGTTGTTGTTGTCGTTGTCGTTGTCGTTGTCGTTGTCGTTGTCGTCTTCGTTGTCGTTGTCGTTGTCGGTGATGTTGTTGTTGTTGTTGTTGTTGTTGGTGTTGAACATTATTTATTCTAAAGAATAATTATTGTTGGGACCCCTGGTGCGCGACCCCCTCGCCGCGCCTAGGCCGCAGCTACATTTTCATCATTTTCGTGAGGAAGCCTCAGGTAATACGATGTCATCAAGATCCGGTTGTTTTGTTCCCCCCCGCTGTCCCTTGCAAAAAACACTATAAAATGAAATTTCTTGTTCTAAAATAACCAAACTTCAAGAATCCCTTGCAAAAAATAAGGTAAAGTGGACATTCGCGCGCGCAAGACGAAATCCTTCCAAAACCTTAGTGTTCGTAGCGATTTCAACATAAAAACATCAAAACACCAATGGTTTTTTTTTTTTTTTTAAAAGTGTCACAATTTCATCCCGCGCGCTCTTGCGGATTTGCAGGAAACCCAACTTTTTTAAACATTTCTGTCAAACGGGCTTTTGCGATCAACTTCTTCACGTGCTTCGAACTTCTCCAACAACGGTTGCGCACCTGCCAGGGCCATCATCCCTGTCAAATAATACCATGCGGGACACATTCGTTTTTTCTTTCCGTGCGCACGCCGAAATCTTCAAAAACCATTGGGTTTCGTAGGAATTTTAGCACCGCGCAACATAAAATCATTTTTCGCACCGTAGGCCCTTCAAATCGTCGTCGTCGTATACTAAGCTAGTTTCCACAAGATGTTACCACAAGAAGTCATTGAAACCATGCGCCAGTGTAGTAGCCACGGTCGTCCGCATGCCACGAAGTGAAGTGTCCGAACGTCATAGGGCGGGAAGCTGGGTGTGGGTGGTGGCGAAGAGTCGTTTGGAAATGTGGTAGAGCTTGAACCGGCCCCCCCACAAAGTGGGGGTATTGGCGGGCGTCGTATGAAAACCCTGGCACTGGTGAGAACACTGAGCGTTCGGGTAAAATGATTGTTGTTGTTGTTGTTATTGTTGTCGTTGTTGTCGTTGTCGTTGTCGTTGTTGTTGTTGTTGTTGATGATGTTGATGGTGTTGTTGTTGTTGATGTTGCTGGGTTAAAACAACGGTTTTTCATATATGAGTATATGTGTAAATGTATACAATAGGGGACCACATGCGAATCCTACCCCTACCCCCCCCGATTTCTGAGGGGGAGGGTGGGGTTCACTTCGTTCGGGAGCTCGCGAGCGAAGTGAACCCCACCCTCCCACTCAGAAATCGTGGGGGGTAGGGGTCGGGTTCGCATGTGGCCCCCTATGCAAGTTATTGTTCTGACAAGCTCGCAGCAGTTTCGCAACTGGAGGGCGGGCTCTCGTCAACATGTGGCTCTCGCCCCGGCGCCGCGCACGCTTCCCAGAGGCCGGCAGGATCTTAATTTAAGATCGGGTAAGTAGCTTCTTATTTTCTACCATGCCTGATTTAAGAGAATAAGACCCTTACGTGAGATCATACACATTACCTATTTTTGATATTTTTTTTCAGCATTCAAACTCACCACGGCCCCATCGCAACGTCCTGGACGGCCCCTTTCTAACCCCTCACGACCCATTCATAATCCCTTTCTATCCCCTCCTAACCGTTAGAGCCACCCCTGGGAGGCGGGAGACAGATGAGGGAATTGAACAGGAATATCACAACAAACGAGTGCGATAATAATGATCAACGTTCTTATGGCGCCCGTCTTGCCAGTGCTGCCCCCATGCCGATGCTGCCTCCCATGCTGATCTTGCCCTTGATGCACCCCATGTTGATGTTGCCCTAGATGCCCCCCATGTTGCCCCATAGTAGATGCCTCCCATGTTGATGCCGTAGATGCCCCCCATGTTTCGTCTTCGTCTTCGCCTCCTCTTCTCGCTCGCCTCTGTCTCCAGATCCCTGGTGGCTCGAGGGATGAGCGGGTCGCCAGAGGGCGGCCGCCACTTCAAGGACATCCGCGAGTGGGTGGTCCGCGTCCCAATGGCGACGCGCGGGCCAACCCATCCCTGCCCCTTCTCCCTTTACTCCTCCTCCTCCTCCTCCTCCTCCTCTTCCCCCTCCTCCTCCTCCTCCTCCTCCTCATCCTCCTCCTTTTCCTCCTTCTCCTCCTCCTCCTCCTCCTCCTCCTACGTCGCTGTCGTCGTCGTCGTCGTCGTCGTCGTCGTCGTCGTCATCCCAGTCGTCGTCGTCGTCGTCGTCGTCGCAATCGTCGTCGCAATCGTCGTCGTCGTCGTCGTCGCCGTCGTCGTCGTCGCGGTATGCTGGCCTCCTCCTCATCCTCCTGCTGCCCCTCCTCCTCCTCTTCCTCCTCCTCCTCCTCCTCCACCTCCAAGGCAACCCTGACGGGCGTGGAGTCGCTCGTTGAGGCCCGCGGGCGCACATATAAATATGTAGTTATGTATGTGTACGCACGATTTGTATTTAACTGTGTAGCCACTTATACATATACATGAAGTATCTTTTGATACATTCACGTATTTATGTGTAGGTACTTAGCTGTTTATTTAGTTGTATAGTGCTCACGGCGTACCGTTATACGTGTGTAGAGATGTTATAGTGCGTTTAAAAATCCATATACCTGCGTGTACAGGAGTAGGTTTGCCCCACGTCATTTTCACTCCGAAATTCGCCTGCAGGGGGACATGCCCAACTCGATCCCGCCGAGGTTTCGCCTCCTGGACGTGCGCGGGCGCTTCGTGGGGGCTCCGAGTGCGGGGGTGCGGGGTGGGTCTGCAGAGGTTTCGCCTGGTGGGCGCCCGTGGGCGCACGTGGTGGGCGCCTTGCGCGCTGTACTGGGTGTGCCGAGTGGAGCACGCATGGGTGCAGTGTTGGGCCGATTTGGATCCGATTCGGACGCGTCCAAATCGGGCCCAAATCGAGCCCGATTTGGAGGATGCAGGGGTGGGGATGTGGATGCTGAGGATGATGATGAGGAGGATGACGATCCTGATGATGAGGATGATGATGATGAGGATGATGATGATGATGATGATGATGGAGAGCATGACGGTTACACAGCACCTCCCTCCAGCACTGCCCCACCCCCCCAGGCGGCAGCCGGCGCTGTCATCGAGGGCTCGGACACGGAGGTCGAGTCCTGCACCAACCCTGGGAAGGGCATCGACACATTGGTGCAGAACGCCATGCAGGACGCCCGCGAGCGCAGCATGACTGAGCAAGAGTTTCAGGACGAGTTCGACCGCATGAACTTAGACCAGACGCTGCCGTGTGAGGAGGGCGCGGCTGCAGCAGTGAGCCACCTGCGCGCCAAGGCGTCGCCACCCGAGGAGCGGCAGCCAGCCGAGGAGCAGCGCGCAGAGAAGCAGCCCGCCGAGGAGCAGCCAGCAGAGAAGCAGCCAGCCGAGGAGCAGCGCGCAGAGATGCAGCCAGCCGAGGAGCGGCGCGCAGAGATGCAGCCAGCCGAGGAGCGGCGCGCAGAGATGCAGCCAGCCGAGGAGCAGCGCGCAGCGAAGATGCAGCCAGCCGAAGAGCGGCGCGCAGCGAAGATGCAGCCAGCCGAGGAGCCGAGGAGCAGCTTGCCGCCCCCGGCCGCCCCGAGTCCTCGGACGCCTCCTGGCCCGCCTCCGCCCACGCCCTCGGTGGAGCAGATCGATTCGGACGAGGACAGGAGGGCCAAACGGACAGCAACATGACCTGGTCGGGTGGTGGGCTCCTCACCCGAGGAGCCCATGACCACAGTGATTGTTGCGTTCGCTTGGTCTCCTCAGGAGCCGCTGCAAGCCATTGCCACCACTTCGCCGAGGTCGCGCCCGAGATCAGCGAGCTGGGTACCAGCGCCAGAGACGCCGCAGCTGGCGGACACGCCATCGTACAATCCAGCGGACTCGGGCTCGCAGCTGCCGCTCGGGCTCTCGCAGCAGACTTCGGACGAGCAGGAGACGCCAGTGCTGCCATCCTTCAAGCGGTCGCTGACAGACGATGTGCAAGTGGGGACCAAGAAGTCCAAGAGGTGGCAGAGTAATCGCCTCGTGAGCCCGCCACGCGTGGAGGAGCGCGTGCCAGCGCATCCGCGCTCGCAGCGGCCGCTCACGGCGCCGCCGCAGCTGGTGGGCCAGCGCCTGCAGCAGCCAATCGAGAGCAGCCGCATCAACAAGCAGCAGGCGATGACAGCGCCGAGCATCGACCAGATGGCGCGGGCACCTCTCGATGGCAACTGCGGCATCAGCAAGGAGCAGCTGGTGGAGAAGCTCAAGCAGAAGTTCGACGAGCTGGTCGCATCCGACACGGGTGCGGACTTGGACGAGATGGGCAAGACTTTCCAGGACTTCTACAAGGGCTCCTTGATCGTGCAGCTGCGCGCGATGCGCCCTGAGACCGCGGAGAAGCCTCTGGATGACGACTTCGGCGCCGACCCGAAGGAGTCGGCTCTTGACAGGGAGGAGCGCCTCATGTGGGAGTCCTTGGAGGAGAAGGCGTTCAAGTTCAGCACGGAGAAGAAGATGGGCAACGCGATCGCGGGCAGATGGGCCAGAGTGATGGAGGCATCGGACGAATGGTCTGAGAAGTACCTGGCGGCGGAGGGCTACCTAGCCAAGAAGGCGGTCCGCGAGGAGTGGGCGAAGTGGTCGTTCCACAGGTGGCAGAAGAAGCGGGAGTTCAGCAAGACGCAGACGAACATCAAGAAGCAGACGATGAAGGGCGTCTACATGCCGCTGGCCAGGCTGGCGTGGAAGTTTGGCGGGGGGTCCACTGGTGCCAAGCTGGCGTGCACGTATGCTGGGAAGGCAGTGCTGATGGGGGGCATCTTCACGAAGTGGTGCAACATGACGGACTGCCTGTTCTACCTCTACGTGGAGCACTCGTTGGAGGACACGTGGCAGCAGAGCTGGACCAGCCACGAGGTCTGGATGGAGTCGGGCTGCGTCGGCGGCCAGCCACCTCCTGGCGCCGATGGCGTGGCCAGCGTGCCATGCACTCCGCTGCCGCGCCCTGGTGCCGAGGCGTCCAGCGAGGAGAAGCAGGCAGCCGCAGCAGCGACGGGCGGCCCTGGGAACGAGGCCACCAGCGGCAAAGGAGGCGACGGCGAGGGCAACGGCAACAAGAAGAAGCTCGCCGTGAAGGCGCCCGAGTGGATGAAGGACTTCCGCAAGCTGCGCACGATGTTCGCGCAGTACACGTCCCAGGCCCACGGGGGGGGGCCGCTTTGATGGGGGAGAGCCAGGGCCGAGTGGCGACGGTGAGTTCGACGACGCCAGCGGCGCGATGATAACCGACGCAGCCGATGCGATGAGGATAGCGACGACAACGGGGAGTTGGGCCGAGAGGAGCGATGAGGCGGATGAGGGAAAGGTGGAGGAGGAGGATGAGGATCAGGATGCGAATGAGAACAACGCGAAGTGCGGGGTGGGGGGACAAATGAGAGGTGGGCGATACGTCATGTCGGAGCGGGCGGGGTGAGACGCAGGAGCAGGACGGGATGGCAACGTGACTGGAGTTATAAGAGAGAGAGAGAGAGAGAGAGAGAGAGAGAGAGAGAGAGAGCGAGAGAGAGAGAGAGACAGAGAGCGAGAGAGAGAGAGGGCGAACAAGAGAGAGAGAGAGAGAGAACGAAAGAGAGAGAGAGAGAGAGAGAGAGAGAGAGAGAGCGAGAGAGAGAGAGAGGCGAACAAGAGAGAGAGTGAGAGAACGAAAGAGAGAGAGAGAGAGAGAGAGAGAGAGAGAGAGATATGACCGATAATACAGAACGAGAGGGACGAGGAGGCGTGAATACGATGATGAGGAAGTGCATGGGCGAGGGCGGGGAGACGGGAAGCGGGCTGAGAGGGTGGGATGGGGCATATATTCATGGAGCGTGGTGGTCGAGCTTGGAGTCGGGAGCGATAGGCGTGCGATGGCGAGACGGAGAGTGATATGTGATAACAGCGAACATGTCGCGTGGAAGGGGAGGTGTCCACATTGGAGGCGCTGATCAAAGCGGACGCAGCTGAGGGCACGAACGAGTGGAAGTTCGCAGCAGGGAAGGAGACCAGGGGCGAGCTGGACAATGCTATCAAGCAGGTGCCCTGGGGGGATTGCGCACGTGCCCCGCCTCTCCTCGCCCCCTGCCATCCGGCCTCCCATCCATTCCCAGAGCAGTAACGGCTAACCCCAACTATGTCCTCACCATTCCCGTTCATTTCCATCCAGGCATCAAACGGCGCCCCGAGAGGGTCTACAGTCAGCCTATACTGTTTCCGAGAGGTCCCCAAGAGCCCCCCAAGAGGCCCCAAGACGCACAAAGAAGATATGACGCCCGCCAGGAAGCCCACGCGCCCTTCGAGCATGGGCGCGCGTTCGACTCGGCGCTGGATGCGCGCCGCGCCGAACGCGCACGCTGGACGGGGCTTGGTCGCGTCCATGGTCGCGTCCATGGTCGCGCCCATGGGCGCGACCATGGACGCGTCCAAGCCCCGTCCAAATCCAAGACGGTGCTGCCGTTCAAAATGGCGGGGGTGCAACGCGATCGCGAATTATCTGCGAAATCTGCCCCCCCTCCCCCCCCCCCGCCCACCGCCGCCGCCGCGCATGGACTGACCCCGTCGAAACAGCATTGTTAACGCCATCGGCGCACTATGTGGCACCATGACGACTACCAACCCCGAGGCCCTCGCCCCCCCCCCCTGCCCTGCTCCACCCGTCTCACGTGCGTAGCCATTTTGGCTGTTTGCGGCTCGCCACTCCCGCGGAGCATGGCGCAGAAGCGCTCGCGGTGCAAGGGGTCCGATGAGCTGGAGGCCGCGCTGATCAATCACTTCAAGGAGGCGGATGAGCTGGACTACCCGCATGGGCTCGCAGACGACTGCGACCCTGACGTGTTGAGCGAGTGGGAGGACATGCTCTTGGACGTCCGCAGAGCCATGTGCCCTCACATGGCCATATCGCAGTCGAAGGCCATCCAACTCTTCGAGAAGGTCCTCGAGGAGAACGGTGCTGCGTGGGCCCTCGGTGACGAGGAGAAGGACTGGACGACGTCCATGGCGAAGATGCTTCGCGCCATGTTGAGGCACGTCCAGCAAGCGGTGCTGAAGAACATGAAGCGCGAGGGGCGCTATCCCGACTCCTGCGCGTGGGTGCAGCCCTTCGTTGAGCAGATGAAGAAGCTCGACGCGGCGAAGGACGCGCCAGCCGCCCATTTGCGTGGGCGATAGGGCGCGGACGGGCGCAATGCCCATGGTGGCGGGATATGGCCAGAAGGCGTGGAGACGGGAGAAACCCGCGGCCATGGTCATCGCACAGTCCGCGCAGCATCGCCCATGCAGCTGCGCTCGCCAGAGGAGCCGACGTACATGTACTCTGTTGACATGGTCACCAAGAGAGCGTACCGCCTGGACCAGAGCATTGCCAACCCAGCGCCAGAGTACGCCATGCCGCTCCAGGACGACCCCCTGGCCGCCGACCACGACGAGGTGATCGCCAAGTTCAGGGGCGGCGCCAGCGCGGTCATCGCGGGCCATGTGTACAAGACCATCAGGGAGTGGAAGCAGTTGGACAATGGTGGCAAGTGCCAGAAAGGTAGCAACATTATCGTCGAGCTGGTCAGTGGCACGTCCAAGTTCCAGCTGAGCAAGTGGACGAGGAATGGCAGCCCCGAGATGGGGATCTGGGAGATTCCGAAGCAGGGCAAGAAACGCATGATCGTCAACTTCGTGCCCCACGCGGGCATGGTTGGGCATGAGGAGATGCTGGAGAAGCAGGCAAGACTGCTGGCGGCTGGGAAGACCACCAAGGAGGAGATCGAGGTGATCAAGCGCGCATTCATCAAGAAATTCAAGGATGATCAGAAGGAGACCGATACGGCGAACGTCTGCCCCATGAGACGACCAGCAGCGGCCGCGGCAAAGAAGACGAGCAGCGCCGCCAAGAAGCCCAAGCAGGTCGTTGATCAGGGCCTTGATGATTTCGACGGCGACGAAGATGCCGACGAACTTGCCGATGTGGAAGGCTCACAGGACGACGACCAAGAAGATGCATCCGAGCAGGCAGACGAGTCGGCGGGGATGTCCAACGATGAGAAGAGCGACCACGCGGGCGGCAGGGGCGGCAAGGGCGACGAGGCCGGCACGGGCAGCAGGGGTGGCAAGCGTCACAAATTAGACTCGACCACCATCGCCGATGTCAAGGCTGGCATGCTGAAGCGACCTGCAGCATCAGGCCCCCGCTGCACAAAGACGGCGCCGAAGCGCGCGCCAGTTCCGCCCAGGGACATTGCTGGAGAGGAGGCGGCATCCCATGAGGCACGCGCAGATTTCGGTAGCCCGCGCCCGTCGCGTAGGCGGCGGATCAGCGCCAAATCACCTGACGTGCACGGCAGAGCTGAGTCGCCCAAGGCTGCGCCATCGGCCGATGCACCGACGCCGCCGCCACCGCCCCCGCCGCCTGCTGGTAAGACCTTGGACTCACCCCTGGCCGCGCTAGGCACCAGGGCCGCCGCGGGCGACCTGCCCCGCGGCGCCGCCGACGCTGGCCCAGGCGATGTTGAGATGGAGATCTTCGGGTCTGGTGGCGGGCTCTTCGGCGCCATGTCGAGCTTCAGGCACTAGTGCGCGGGCGCCGCAAGAGACGGGCCGCTCAGTCAAACTAGCCACTGCGCAGTGCAGTGCGACACTCTGGTGCAAGCTGGGGCGCACCTTGACCAAGAAGTCGTGACAGTCGGTCACGTTTGCCCATTGTTGGAATCCACATGTCGCTCCACCTTCCCTCTTCCCCCCCGCCCCCCCTTCCAGTCGCATCGTCTCTGGGGCTCACCGCCCCATCGGCAACATTCGCGCGTTCCCATCCTGAACTCCGAGGTTAGGTCATAGTTCCCTCCTCCACTCCATGGCCCATTCACACTTGCACCAACGCCAGCTGTCTTCATTTTTCGGAGACACCCTGAGGGCCGTCTGACGAGGCGGAGGAAGCACGCGGCGAGACGGCAACATGCGAGGGGGCGAGGACAATTGGTGGAGAGGCGGGCGGGAGCATGACGAGTAGCGACGAGGAAAAGGGAAAGGCGAGTCATGCGGTTGTGACACGGCGCACCCCCCTTTCCTTGTTCATCTACCATTCCCCCTTACACCCGCTCGTCCCTGCATTGCCCCCGCCATCCCCTTATATCGCCATTCCGCCGTTCTCAAGATCACGCGGATCGAACTGTGACCCCCTGCCCCCCGTGGTCACCCTCCTCGTCGGGGCCCCACTGGTCAGGCCAATGGTTGTTCGCGCGAATCCCAACCAACCCATCCAGAAGCCCCGCCCACGAGAGCTGACGGGAAATGAAACGCATATACGCATATAGTGAACCAGCGCAGTCAACGAGAGGAAGGGGAATGCGTTGAGTCACGTCGGGGGGCTTATCGTTGAGCATCGAAGGTCTTCTTGGGACGGTTGGACCTTTCGGGGGCGTCGCGGAGTCCTCTCGGGGCTCTGTGGGGGGTATACGAGTGCCCCTTTGAGGCTCGTTGGGTGGCGCGCGAATTCGCATGGGGCTTTTTGTGTGCGCATGCGGGCCCTCGCCCGTCGTGGGGTTCCCGCGGTGCTCTCTCGGCGTTCTCTTCGGAGCTCTGGGGCGTCTCCTGGGGCCATCTTGGACGCCGTCGATCCACGGAGGGGGTGCCACATGTTCGCCGCCCTGCTGGGGTCATCTGAATAGTCTCTCGTGGGGGTCTTGTGCGCCCGCGGGACCGTCGCGGGGGCTCACGGGCCCCTCTTCGGGCTCTCTTGAGCCATCTTGGGGCTGCCTTGAAGCTTCAAAATCGCATCGGAGGCGAGAAGGAGGCGACGCCAACATCGTTGTTCCCCCTATGGTTTTCGAATGATGCTGGCTACTCGGGGAAATCCTGCGGGGTCTCCAAAAACGGTTGGATCCGTCGCGTGACCTTCATGGTGCCTCTTGGCGCCATGTTGGCTTTTTGAGCGATCTTGGAAGCCAAATTGGGCTCTTCCAGGCCCTCGTGGAACCGTCTTGAGCCATCTCGCACGCCCTGGCCGCTCGCGACCCTCCCCGCCCAGGTCTTTGGGCGGGCAACGGGGGCGGGGGTGCAAACGTCCCCCCAAAGGGGATGAGGGGTTTTCTTGGAAGGGGGGACGCTGGTTCGTTGGACCGCCTGTCGCGCATGAGGCTGGCGGGATATCTGCGGTCGCGCGCCCCCATGGCTGTGGACAGAGGGTGAGTGACGGGGTCAGGCAGAACGGGTTTGGGCATCGCATAGAGGGGAGGTGGAGTTGGAGCTCAAAGTCTCCATCAACAGGGAGTGCATGACCACGAAGAACCTCAATGAGGTCAAGAAGCGGATGACCGACGCCGAGTTCGAGGTGCTCATCAAAAAGCTGAACCAGGATCGGGGGCGCCTCTTGCTTGCCTCCCCAGGTCGCCTCGTCCACTATCAGCCCTCCCCCCCGACCATTCGCTCGTGCGGCTCACCATTATCACGTGGCCCGCCGCTCTCGGTTCCCCGAACTCCATCCGACCCTCTCAAGAACCCGCGCACCATGGTCGCCCAACATTTTCTCGTGGCGGGCCAGTGCCGCGCCCCGACCCCCCCCTCCCCCCAGGAAATCCTAGACGCTTCGCGCATCCCCGCCAGCCCACCCAGAAACGACGCCCATGCGAGTTGAGAGGCGATCAGAAACGTGCTGGAGCAAAGAAGGGGACGGCTGGACCGCGCGGCGGAGAGAGGGGGCGAATGATACTATTAGATGGCCGGATGGATGGATGAGGGAGCATGGGGAAGGATGATGGATGTGATGAGGAGGAGGACGTGGGGGGCGAGGAGGATGGTAAGGGATGGGAGGAGGAAGGAGGATGAGGAGGAGGAGGACGAGAGCAAGCAAAATGGCTAGATGTCTCTTGGATGCTTCTCGGAGCCTCGTGAGGTATCTTGGGGGCGCCTTGGGGCGTATTGGGGGTCTCTTGGCGGTCGTTGTGGGCTCTTCGGCGTTCTGGGTGCATCGGGGGGGGGGTGGGGGTGGGGGTGGGGGCGCTTGGGGTCCTCTTGGGGGCCTCCTGAGGGCCTCCTGGGTGCCTCGTGGGGCAATCTTGGGACCTCTCGGTGCCTCCTGTGCGCTTCTGTGGGCCATCTCGGATGAGATCGATCAATAAGCGGGCGCATTAAATAGCGCTCCCCCCCCCTCCCGACGCCAAACATGGGGCCAACAATGAAACACATGATGTTGGCTTCCTCGCCGAAGCCGTTTTGGGCACTCCAGCGACTCGCGGACCCCCCCCCCGCCCAGGTCCTGGGGCGGGGGTGGGGTGGGGGGCGCGCCCCTCACCGAAGGGTAAACATGGGGGGTGGAAGATGAGACTGCCTAAATCACATACGCGCAGAGGGTTGGTGGGATTCACGCGCAGAATCGCCTCTCAGAGCTACCTACACCGCAGTGTACGCATGGTTAGGACGATTGGGAGCGATGGGGGGCGCGCGAGGACGTCACCCCGACGGTGGAGAGGGCCATGGCAGAAGTCGCGTCGATCTACCGCCAGAAGCTGCCCGTGCCCCGAAGGAGACGAAGAAGAGGAAGGCCCCTGCAGCTTGAGCCTAGGTTGTAGTAAGCAGTTTTTGCGGCTGGCGCAGGCAACGCCCCAACCGACCCTCACCGAACCGCAAAATCCATGAAACTGCCAGAAAAACCCCCCCGAAACGTAAAATCTAGTAAAAATGACGCCAGAACGCCGGCCAAGTACCGTCCACGTACCGTCCAAAACGGCTACCGGCCAAGTACCGTCCAAAAAGGCGAAAACCCTGTAAAAACACATGTAAAACCCATGGTCATGCCACCACCGCACCGACCAAGTACCGACCAAGTACCGTCCAAGTACCGTCCAAAAACGCCCCCCCCCCGTCCGAACCCAATTGTGGCGGCGTTCGAGCCCTCGCTGGTGGCCGAACCGTAATTTTAGCCCCGTCGCCGTGTAAAAACCATTGCCCGTGTGGGCAGGGGGGGTGCGAATCTATGGTTTCGGCTAGTTTTCTGCGGATTTGGCATCTGGAATGCGCGGGTGTAGGGCGGATGCCAGCGGTAGAGGGGGGGATGTCCGAGAATCTGGCAGTTGGGGGTTGCCGCGCCATCATGCGCAGATTCATGAGCGCGCTGTGTGCCTAGTCCCAGGCTCTGGGGTTCTGCTGGCATGGCCTCAGCGTTCTCAGCTGGCGAGTGGGCGCGCAAGGCGCACTGCTAATCGCCAGGCGTTGTCTCGCACCGAGGCCACCGAGCGCAACGTGCGCGCGTGCTGTCAGCCAGCAGTTTTTTTCGTTCGGTTGCGACGCCTCCGTGACGCTGTGATGTTCGGGCGAAGGGGGGCGTGCACATCACGCGTGCATTGTTTGACGGCGTGCGAGGGCTTGTGCGCGCACGTATCACCACGTAGCCCATCGCGTGCACGTGCTCGCATCACTGGTAGCGTCGAACACCGATCGCACGCGCGCGCATCATCGACGGCGCGCACGACTGCACGCGCAACATTCGAGAGCCAGGGGGGTCGCACGCACTGTGCACGAATGTTACGGAGCAGGCCGCATCAGCAGCGTCACGGCATGGCAGAACGGGCGCTGGTTTGAAGAAGCTGTGCATTGCATCGCCGCGTCGCTAGCTTTTTCCCCGCCATGCAGTGGGAGTGAGATGTGCAATGCATCTGGGGAGGGGCACAGGGGCGTCGATGTGCAACCCGCAGCCCTGGCACAAAGGATACCACACAGCACCGTTTTTTCGGAACCTGCCGACACATGCCGCCCAAAAACCAGTTCAAGCGATCATGGCGTTCTTCTAGGCGTGATGTTGAGATGCGCACCGCAGGGGCTGCGCTGTTCGACCACCTGTTAGGGATCTATGTGTCTGGGAGGCATATGACGGCTAAAGACTTTGCCATCGGGTGCCACTACTGCGACATTGCAGGGGTTGGCGGTGCACATTGGAAGTGGTGGGGGATGTCTCCTGGGAAGCCGTCTGGTAGATACAAAGACCATGTGGATCGCAGACTGCCACCGATAGGGCCGATGATGAAAGTGCGTATCCCGATGGCTGTCCGTGGGCGCGCCCACTTAACTACAGCACACACGGACATCCAGCTTGTGTATGAGTCGTTGTCCGAAGAGGTGCGAACCGATACCGAGTGCAAAACTATACTACAACATGGTACATACGATGCAGACTCAGTCATGATGACTCGCGCATACCAGAACCATGAACATGTACACGAATGTCTACACCAGACAGGGGATTGGCCCCTCCCCATTGTACGCCGATTCAGTTCGGTACTCACCACTTCATGCTGGGCGTACGGACAGCGTCTTGAATGTGAGCGTGGTTAACTTGCTAACGAAGCGTCGACATTACATTGGCTTTCTGCGCACACTTGACAAATGCGACTGCGGGTGTGCAGGGCACTGTACACTATATGCATTCATGCATGTTGTCTGGTGGCAGCTCAAAGCGCTGGTCAGAGGGTGTGCCCCAGATGTGCAATACGATGGGACTCCGTGGGCCGTCGCTGGTGCTGCGGGGAAAGATCTTGGGTGTAGGGCGGTGTTAATGTACGTCAAAGGGGACTGGGCG